TGGCCATTCTGATCTGATCTCTCCTCCCAGCCCTTCTACTTCCCTGTACGGTCACACCTCTGCCAGGAAGGGCGTGCATAAAATCTTGGTGTGGACAAGACAGCTTGTACTGACCAGCAACAGCACGTTTCACTTTTCCTTAGGAAAAACCCCCCAATTCACTTACTCGAAGTGTTTCCCACCCCTATTAGTGAAGCAAGGCCTGTCTGCCCCCTTTCAGAATGGTATTTTGCATGTGAGGACCAGCTCTTGTGTGTGTCTGTACAATAAGCATGGGACAAGTCCCACATCTCTCAACACGAGCATTACAAACCAGAAGCAGAAAACACCACATTCTCCCCCTTGTGGTGACGTTGGAGTCTCTGCATCAGGAGAAATCCAAATGCTAGGACAGCCAACAACAATTCCCACAATAATCCCACAGAGGTGGATTTGGACACTTGAGAATTGGCATGAATTCATCTGGCAAGCTCCAGTTCTGGTTTATTATAACCCTACAGGATGTATAGATATATACAGGATCTATAGGTACAAGACAGCAGCATTGCCTGCTGCCACATAAATGGAGCACAGCTGCCAACTGCAGCCCAGAGGTGAGCTACAACAGCACTCCCATCCAGACTTCACAAAGTCTTCCACGGATAAGGCATGCATTTGTGCTTGGCTAAGGGATTTTCCTGGCTGCATTGTGTTGGCAGGACAAAACAGTGGGGCCGTGGTTAAAAACTTCTTGCCTTATGCTATGGCCCCAGAGCAATTTTAAGTTTTCTGATACCCCTTTCTGCACTACCTCTCGAGCAGTTTGTGGCTCTCTTTGGTCCCAGGTTCTCTCCGTTTTCAGCCAGAATTAGTTAAAAGATGGAAGAGATAGAAAGGTTAGTAAAGACAGATGAGCGCAGGACGCTGCAATGCATTGCTCCACAACGTCAGGTACAATACATCTGACAATGCACTGCTAGAAATATCTTTCAGGCTGCTCCTGTGAGGAGGTAATGTATATGTAACTCGTACTTCAGAGAGTCCCATGGCTTCTGAGAGGAAGGATTTCTGGCAAAGTGTGATATGGATTTATCATGGCAAAGCTGCAGTAATATGATGTCAGCGGTACAGCTCTAGGAGTTTGAACATCAACAGGAGCATCCTGATGGGTCCCAAGTAATGTTATAATGTAATGTTCTGCTGATGCCCAGAGAAGATAATTGGTAGTTGTTTGTGTGCATTTAATGCTTTACAGTAATTACAAATCTAGTCAATTCAATGGTCTCTGCTTGTGACTAGTTCTTTAATTTGGTCTATATTATTAAAATTAAATTACATGAGAGTCTTGTCTTTAAAGTAAGTTTAAAAAGAGGTTTTGTATTTAGTTATGAATTTTTTTAAGTGACTACTATCAGTGGATGGGAACCCCTCTGCTCAAATATGAGGAGTTAATCTCAGTGAAATATAGATAAGTTTATCTACATTATCACTTCTAAGGGCACTTGTTTCACATTTCCATATGTTTCCTCACACACACCAAAACAAATTTAGAATGATAGTCAAGATTTGTATGCAGTATCTTGCTTAAGGAAGCTAGAATGCTCTAAAAAGGCTTAAAAGTTAGAAGAATTGGCCAGACTCATGATTTTGTGGCACTGAATTTAGGGCTGGGAAAAATGTAGGGTCAGAAAGAAATCCAGTTCTCTTCAATATTGTTATACCAAAGCAAGCCATTGTACACTTGGCTGCTGGAGAACAAGAAGTCTCTTTCCCCAGCTAAAATGTCTCTTCTCTCAGCCTAGGAAAACCAGTGCTCCTGCAGTCTGTGCTGCCTCAGTTGCACACAGCAATAATACCTATTCTAGCAGTGGTATTTTGCAGAGAACGTAATTCCCAAAGAATGTATTTTCTTATCATACCACTGTCTTTAAAAATAAAAGCTCCAAAGAAACATCATGGATTTTTTTTTTCACAACATGATTTTTATTAGCAATTTATTCAGTCTGACAGATGCCTGCATGCAAACTATGCAAAGAGCAGATCTCTTCCTCCAAGTGTAAATATTTATAGATCATATTAAATGGTATTTAGTACTATGCAAACATATTGTCAACAGTTCTAGCCAGATTCTTCCCTAATCACAGCCTGGGAGTTGGCACAGGCATGTCCTCCATGAGAAGATGGTTATCAGAAAAAATAATAGCAGGTTAAATAGGTTCTTGGCTTAATTAAGACTTGAGTTTACACCAGAGGTGAATCTGGCCGATACCAAGCTAAAACTGTTAGAGCAGCTTGTATGTACCACACACAGAGCTGGAAAGATGATGCTTCCCTGGGGGGACAGCTTTCCCAAGCAGGCTGGGAACCTCTCTTGGCACTGGACAAAATGGGCCATTACAATGCAGGATAGGGAGTTTCAACCTTTTATATGTTTTAATGTAGTTCCACATTTTCTTAGACATAATAGGAGGTGTATGACTATTCCTCAATTTGCATTAACTGGCTACGTTTATTTGAATAGTCCAGAAGAGCAAATATTTCTCATTCAAATCACCATCTGTTCTCAAAACAGAAAAGTGTTTTCTTAAACACAGATCTGCCTTTTGGACTCCAACTCAGACAGTGCAAAGTCCCTGAATAGGTTAATGTCTGTGACACAGCTGGACTATACTGAAGCCACTGTGTTTCAACTAATATCCTAAAATCTCCTTTCCTGCATCACCAGCCCAAAACCCTTTGATAGCATTTTGTTATATCCCATAATCTCTACTCTCCTGACAATCTGGAATAAATGCAAACCAACTGAAAGCTCATTTATATTCTATGAAAACCTGCTATTGCAAGCATGTCTTAGCACCCTGGCTTTTCACACAAGAGATGTAAAGTTGCAAAGATCCCTAAACACTTCAAGATTGTCCTCTGGCTGTCTCAAACAAAACAGCCCAACTCACTTTCTCCATGCATCGTAGGGAGACAGGCGAGTGAGGGCACGTTCATGGCATCCCATTCTCTCTGGCTGCGCGATAACAGCTTTTTTTCAGTGCCTCTACTTTCCCATTCTGCATCTGGACTTCTCTATGGGCATTTTTTTTTCTCCTGGGACTGTTTTTCCCAGAAATGTGCTTGTTTTCCCCTGCACCAACCCTAAGGGCCACATGCCCTTGTGCTTTGCTCAACAGCTTCACAATATTTCCTCCACCATTGTGCTTGGTCCTGCCAGAAAATCTGTTCTACAGCAGACAGTCCTCCTCCCCCCTTAAACTGTCTCTTCTAATTCTATTACATTGCAGAGCTTCCTTCTCCCTTCCTCCTCCTCTGGAAAGGAAGGCAGGGAATATTCAGTAAATGCTAGCATCCTACATGAATGATGGAATGATATATCTATACAATGTATACAGACAGACATGCTTTAAATGGACTACTTAATGCCAACTTTGCATTTTGTCTATTTTTAATTAACTGATGGACCAGGGTTTCAGCTCCTCCGCCTCCTCCTCCTCACTGCTCATTTTGAAAAGCAAATTTCTGTGTTCTAAAATTACATTGGGACGTGTGAATGATTTTGGCATCACTTTTATCTACAGCCAGATTAGCAGTAGCAGACAAATCCATACATGACTTGAAGGAACAAGAATTTCTTCCTCACCTGTTTGATGGTAGAATTACTATGTGAAGCATCTCACAGTCTGGACATCTGTGTCTGTGTGCACAAGGCTGGTTTCTGCACATTTTTTGATTACCCTTTTTTCATATCATCACAGAATGGTTTCAGTTGGAAGAGATCTTAAAGATCACCCAGATCCCACCCCCATGTCATTGACAGAGACACCTTCCACTAGACAAAGTTGCTCAGGGCTCCATCCAGCCTGGCCTTGAACACAGAGAGGGATGGAGCATCCACAGCTTCTCTGGGAGAACTGATCCAGTGACTCACCACCTCCACAGTAAAGAATTTCTTCCAGTGTCTAATGCCTCTCTGGGCAATCTGGAAATAACCCAAAGGAGCTGAATTCAGGAGACCCTGTGCTTGCTCAGGAATGGGCACCCATGGTTTCTTAAGTCCTGCACCCTACACCATCTCGGGGAGCCAGCTCCACACGTCAGAGTGCAGCTCAGATATTTATATCATGTATTTGTCTGTATACACGTGAGCAGTACATGTTCTAGAAATTATTCAAAGCTCTGTTGCTGGTAGGGTTTGCCCCAAGCAGCAGGGGGCTGCTGATGTGCAAACTTTTGCCATAGACAGCGACACTAAAAACAACAAAATGATCATTGAAGAGCTGATTTCTGGCCTTCGATTTAGTATTTATTTCAGCAGCATTCTCGTTTACTCAATGCTGAGGGCAGTGGACTGGCATGTCCGTAGAGCAGACCTGCACACTGCAGGGGTTATACGAGAACAGTTGTGTCTGGATTATGGTGGAATGTGTGTTTCTCATACTCCGGGACAGCAAGATGCTGTTAGCCAGTGTAATTATATATGTATATGTATATTTTTTTTCCTCCCTGCTGGGTGGTGATAACGAACCATAGAATGGTTTGGGTTGGAAGGGGCTTTAAAGCTCGTCCAGCTGCAGCCCCGCTGCCACGGGCAGGGGCACCTCCCGGCAGACCAGGCTGCTCAGAGCCGCTGCAGCCGCAGGACGGGTCGGCATCAGCGGGAGCTTTGCCAAGGCCGCTCCCGCCGCTGTGCCGCCACCGCAGCCGGAAGGCAGCCCGGTGCGAGCACGGCTCCTCGCCGCTGTGCGCCAGGCAGAACTGCGGAGACACCCCGGCAGCGTTAAGCCGCGGCAATTCACACACAGCCCCCCGCCCCGGGCCCGCGGCGCCCGTCACTTCCGCGGGCAGCGCCCGGCCCTGCCCCGCGGCCTTCCCGCGGCCTTCCCGGGGCCTTCCCGGGGCCTTCCCGCGGCCTTCCCGGGGCCTTCCCGGGGCGGCCGGGCGGGGCGGGGCTCGCGGGGCCGGGCCAATGGAGCGCGGAGGGGCGGGGCCCGGCCGTGGCATGTGGCGGGGCCGCGGGGCTCCGGCGCTCCTGCCCGTCCCTTCCCGTCGCGGGGCTCTCCCTGCCTCTCCCTGCCCGCGGGGCCGCGCCAGCGCCGGCCGAGCGCCTCTCCCGCCCCGGGGCCGCCTTCTCCGCCGGGCCCCGCCACGTCGTGAGTTGCGGGCGGGCGGTGATCCTCTGGGCCTGAGGGGCGCGCTGCCGGCGAGCGGCCGTGCCGGGGTCGTGCCGGGCGGGCGAGCAGCCGCGAGCGGGGAGCGGCCGCTCGGCAGCCGTTCCCGGGAGCCGCCACATAAAGTTGCGGGCACACTGTGGCACGAGTTGGGAATAAATTTTGCAGTAAGTTGCAGCCCTCCCCCCGCGGCAGCGGAGGCTGCGGGCTGTGAGCCTTGTCGGGGTTTTGTTAGCGGGGAGGCGGGAGCGGGGAGAGCGGGGTTTCATCGCGGGGAGGAGGTGATTGACTCAGCAAGTAACTCCCGCCGGAGTATGGCATTTTTAGGCCCTACGGACCACCTCAAAGATCCGGTGTCTGTGGGGGTCGCCACCCTTAGGCACGGCATCACCGATATATAAATATATCGTGTGTCCGAATAAATGATGTTGAGTGTCTGCGAGTGAGGTTGCCCTGGTAAGTGGCGTCCTGTGGTATGGCACTGAAATGTTTTTCAGTTTATCCTACCTGAAGTACAGGTTTTCAGAAGATTTGACTGTACCCTGTGCGATGTTAGCAAGGTGTCAGCTGGAGTCCAGGAAGTGGCAGGAAGAATAAACACTGTTTTTTGACAAGGCTCTCAAATATGGCATTCTGTGGGGATATCCTCTTGCAGTGAATCTTCTCTGGTGGATTCAGCAAATCCTTTAACTTTCCCCTCTGTCTCCTGAACTTTGTTTTCTAGGATTGGGAAAAGAAACTCCTGTCGCAGGATCAAGTAATGTGCCTTGGTGTCCTACATGTTAGCTGACTGAATCCCTGCCAGACTTGGTCATGCAACACCACTGCTGTTTCCTGATAAAGTGAGTTATCTGACTGCTTACTGGAGGGACAAACCCAACAAATCCTCCCCACCTTAAGACAGATTGCTGTGTACTTTTGATGAGCAATGTAAATTTGTTGATAGTGAACATCTGGTGCCCTTTAGTCCTCAGAGGGTTTATGACTGAATGGTAGCTTTGAAGAGTAGGCTACAGGATGCAGATTGATGCAATGTCTCTGTTTCAAAAGTACATGTATTAATCTAATGTATCTACCATAATCAACCACTACTATGCATATTAATGCAGTCCATTATGTGATAATGGATAGTTTAAGAGAAAACCATCAATTTTTATTAGCTTTCATGTCTGTACTAGATTTGTACATGTGTTGGGTGTGTTTTCTGCTTGATTCTGGCTTTTATGTATATATAATGCAGGCATACACACATGTATTGTTTTAGTACTTTTTTGGAAGAAATTCCAGTCTACATGTCTCTTAACATGTTGGTGAGGACATCTTTATTTTTTGTTTTTAATTGAGAATTCCCCGCTGGATTTATAAACCCATCTGCCAGGAAACAGACTTTGCATCTGGTTAGCTATTATTGAAATTCTTATTGGCACATCCATACAATGTGAAGCCTCTGCCTTCTAAGGCAAGTCTCCTGGCACAGGCTTTTTGAAGGCTACGGGAGTAATTTGCAAGCAAAATTTCAAGCTTTGGTGATGAAAAACTTCAATGCTGAAGACCTGGTGATTAAAATGTTTGGATGTATACAATGGGTTAGAGGAAATGTGCTAGCAGGCTTTTCACTAGTATGTTACTGGCTAAATTTTCAAGTGAGAGTGTTGCAGGGACACTAAGGAACGGAGATATTTGTGCATGGGAAAGCTGGAGGAAAAAGCAGTCAATTCACCAGGACTTGCAGGTAGTTCCTCAGCTGCTATGCATTGCAGATCAGTGACAACCCACAGCAGCTGGCCATTTGTCCTTGTTTCAATTGGGGTGGGATGCTTTTCTGAAGGAGGTGTCTGTACCTATGTACACAACTGGTTCAAAGTTCATTAGTGAGGTACACAAAATGCCCTTCCCACCCTGTCCAACACAGTAATTGTAGGGTGAACCCCTATGGGTTGTGCTGAGCCAGCAGCCAGACCAGATGACCTTTGACTTTTTTTCCTCCTGCCCTTAAAAGGACTGGGAGGGCAGTATCCCTGCTGTGTGTGCTGTTGCTGGATGCCATCTAACACTGTGTGCTCTGGCTCAGCAAGGCTGGTTCCCTTCCCAGCTTCCAGCCTGTTCTGCAGGTGTAGTCCATTGTCATACACCACATGTCAATGGCACCCAGCCTGGGTGTGGGAAGGGCTCCCAGAAGGCTGTTGACTTGGTTGATAGTGGAGCCAAGAAGTTCTGTGAAATAAACTGCTGTTGAGCCCTCTCTTGCTTGATGGTAGCAAGCATTTGATGTGTTCATTCCTCCAGTCATTTCTGGTTTCCTTCTTACAGCTTAGACGGGGGGGAGTTACCGAAGGAGTTGTGAATTGGCAGCTGGAGTCTATGGATGCTTCTGGCACTGCAGGGACAGTGACAATGCTGAAAATTAGTGCAGGCAGCACCTGGTTGTGCTTTTTGGGTTCACAGCTCTTTCAGCTTTTGAGTGCTGGCAATCCAAGAGAGTCCCCATGCAGGTGAGATGCTCAGGATGCTTGTGGGGCAGCAATTCATTCAGGAAAGGACAGCTTATCTCCTCCACGGTATGGAGACTCCCTTCTTGAAGGAATGTCTGCATTGACATTTCTGCATGTGCCTGTGAACAACTTGTCCAATGAAAGTAAGTAGCAAGAACTGCAGAGGTGGGCTCTAATGCTCAGTGGAGCCACATGACTGTTTTGCTGGTGTGTAAAGTAGCATTTGGCTGCTTGCTGTTTTGCTGTCTGGCTTGTGCATTGCTTTGGTTCTGTAGATGAAAACCTTGCATTTAGCTGAGGGCTCTGCTTTGCTGTTCTTGTGATTTCACTGGAATGAGGTTTCCTCAGGGCAGTTTTGAATGTCCATCACCATAGATGCCAAAACGTCTGAGGGTCTTCTATTTCCTTTGCTGGCTTTATTTTTCTTTGCTGTTCTGGGCACAGCCTCCTCAAGGCTCAGACCTTGGGTTTTAGTGCTGAGAGGTAGCTGTGCTGCTGCACTGGCACCAGGGTGGTGCTGTGTAGTGCTGTCGGACTGGATGGGACTGGAACCCTGTCTCCAGTGGTGGCATTGCTGTGGTAGGAAGGCTGGTCTTCAGACAACCTTTGCAGAATGTGAGGTCTGGAATGACAGTGTGTGGGTCTGCATTCTTCATCATGTCCTTTCCTCCTGTTGAACATAACTTGTCAACCATTTGGAAAACATGCTGGGTGCTTGTTTGGTTGGTTGCTTTCTTCCAAGACTATGTGATGAAAAGAAAGGAGCAGAAGGCAAAGAGCCAGGGATAAGGGTATTTGTTTATTTGTGGCCAGCTGGACTGTCCCCCAGGGTAGCAGGGCCCACAGTACATTTGTACATTTTGCACCTGCGTGAGGAACCAGCTGGTCCCCCATTTGAGCAGGAAGTTTGGCCTGTGCTGGCAGTGTGGGTTGCAGGGGTGTGCCTGGATTATCTCTGTGCATCACCACAGCTCCTGGCACCTTTGCTTGTGGAGACTCAGCTGGGCTGTGTCCCCTAAAGGACAGCTAAATTGTGTTCTGCAGATGTGGCCATGGGGTGTCCAAGCCCCCACAGCTACCTGTGTTATTCCCTAAGTACACAGAGAAGGAAGGTGAGGTGGTCTGTGTACAAGAGCCTTTTCATTAACTTACTGAGACATTCAGCAAGTCCCCTTCACTGCTTCTGCTAACAATGACTGTTCAGGAGGGCATTGGGACTGCCTTCCCTGGCTCCACCTGACTCTGACTTGGTGCCAAGCCCAGAGAACTACTTATGCAATAGTCCAGCAAAGCATGTCAGTATATATTTCTCATGTGTCCCACTGTCCTGATTTCAGATTTGTTAAAAATAAAAAAAAGGGATGAAGGAGAGTGGCTGATAAAATTTGTGTTGAATTTTACATGTATGTTTGTGTTGGATTTATATTTGTTTGGCTTGAGGAGACTTTGCTGCACTTTAACTAAATCTGTTTTTAAATCCATTTAAGTTAAACTGCTACTACAGCTAGTGTGTGGAGACCAGGATGAAATCTCATTAATTTTAATAGGATTAAGCATGTTCTTTTGCTGAGTCTTCTGCTCTATCTTTTTTATGTTTGGCTTTTCTATATAGAAAGTAGGATAAACTTTTCCACTCTTCCACCTCTTTGTGAAAATGCTTTGACAGGCTCACAGAAATGTCTCTCTAGTTGCATACAATAACATTTTACACATTTTTTTTCCTATGCTTTCAGCTGTAGTCCTACTGTATCCAGGCTTTTATTGGCTTTTGCTTTCCCTAAAGGCACACTAATTCCTGACAGCAAGAAAACAGTTACAAGTGTTTGCATGGTAAGTTTCTACACTCAAAATCATTATTTTTGCTTTTGGTCTCTCTGCATAGATTTGAAACTGCTGTAAAACAAGCCAATTAGTAGAGAGAAACTCTGTAGAAAGTCAGCAGGGACTGAGCATGTGCAGATGGATGAGGGCAAAATTAATCTTTGTTCAACAACTAGGAATAAATTGAAGTACAGGAAATAAAGGTAGAAGTGGTCTAAATGCAAACTGGTTGAAGGGTAATATTTGGGATCTGTCTAAGATTAAACAACCATTAACTGGAGAGGAGGCTGCTTTATGCATTTGTGTTACCTCTTTACTTCCACATTTCTCAGTGTACATCATGCCCTGAATATAATTATTGATATAGGAATTTGATTTGTTTGTAGTTTATGTTATAGGAACACTCCTCTTCCCTCTCTCCATCTGAAAAGACAAATCCCACAGCAGGTATTTCTGGATGTTCCTGAGATGCTCCTAATGACACACTTACTACATATGTGCTTTCATAGGAAAAGCTGACTGTCTTGTAGCTGTACACTAAGCTGGATTTCAAGAGACTTGATTTACATTTTCACTTCCACCTCTGATTAGTTCCTCCTGTAGCTATACACAAATGACTCAGTCTCACACCCCTTTTCCCACCCTGTGAGATAAGGGAGGGTTGATCTACCTTGCTTCTGCTCTGCTCTTTTGAACTGATGCCCTGTTGTAGTATGGACTAACCCATGTTACAAAGGTTTGGCTTGTGTTTTTGTGTCAGCAAAACTCCTCTATAACATCAGTCCTTTTGATGAAGCTTTACATAATCGGTGTGTTGTCTTGCTGGCAGTAGCATCTAGATTGAAACTCCTGTATCTAATTAAAAAAGGAGAACATGGTGGGGAAAAAAGCATTCCGGGTTTTTTTCTGGAAGATAAACAGAGATCAGCTTTTTAAGGGGGTTAAAGATGGGAAATTCTGACAGGTGAGAAATGCCCAGTGATACCTTCAAGTTCTCAATGTGTAAGCAAAGAGCACTTATTCTCATCATAAAAAGGGTAGGCTTGGAAGGGACCTTAAATATCATCTAGTTCCAAACCCCCTGCCATGGGCAGAGATGATCAGGTTGCTCAGGGCTCCTTCCAGCCTGGCCTTGGACATTTTCAGGGAAGGGGTATCTACAGCTTCACTGAGGAACCTGTGCCAGTACTTCACCACCCTCACAGTGAAGAACTAATTCCTAGCATCTAATCTAAATCTCTCCTTGTCCTGTCACTTTCTTCCCCTGTAAAATGTCCATCTCCCTCTTTTTTATATGCCCCCTTCAAGTACTGAAAGAACATAGTGAGGTCTCCCCAGAATCTTTTCTTCTCCATTCTGAACAACTCTCTTAGCCTGTCTTCATAGGAGATGTGCTGGACACAGCACTCCAGGTGAGGTTTCACCAGAGCACAGTAGAGAGGCACAATTCCCTCCCTTGACCTACTGACCATGCTGCTGTTGATGCAGCCTAGGCTTTCTAGGCTGTAAACATGCATTGCTGAAATATAAATTATATCTTCATCTATGATGATGATTTTTAAGGGATTGCCAGCAGTTTATATTTGCCTTGTGGCAGTGGCAGGACCCATGTGTTGTGGCTATAATGATCATCTCTGAGGTGGCTGGAGGAGGCATGTGCTGTGGCAGAAATGCATTGCTGACAGTGTCTGGGCTATCCCTGACTCCACTGGGCACATTTTGGGTGGTGTAGCCAGCAAGGGAATGCAGTATCATGAGCCTGCCAGTAGCTACTCAACTAAATTCTGTGCAGGTCTCAGGTTCCACAGGTTCTGTTAGACTTACTCTCACATATGAAGTTAAACATGGGCTTTGTGTGTTTGAAGAATTACTGCCCAAGACAGATATGCTAATGTGGAAACAGCTGATAGTGTTCTTCGGGGATAGTTGCTTGAGTTTGAGAAGCGTGTGGCCTGGTCTGAGCTCTAATGCAGATGGCTTTTGTTACCAAATGACTTGGTAAGCAAAAGCAGGAAGTTGTGTTGGTTTACTGTTTAGCAAGTAGCTTTTGACTGAATCCCGTGTATTCATAGATTCCCATTTGCTGTTTTCTGTCCACTGCAAAGGGAGCAAGGATTTCTAGGCTTTGCAAATCTTGTAATGTAGAGAAGCTGGATATATATTGATTACATGAATCCATCCTCTTAAGGAATATCTGAATGAAAGACTTTAAAAATAAAATATAAACAGAAAATGGTGGTGAGTTGGGGGATTTTGGTTGCCTTTTTTTTCCTGCAGGTTTTGGCAATATTAGTAAGCAGTTTCTTTCTGGGTGGTATGTTCTGCACTTGGTCTTTGACCCCTCTGAAAGTGAAAACACATGTAATGCAAACTGTGGAGTAGGCAACCTGCCCCCCTGGGAGCTGACTGAAATCAAACCCCTCTACTGAATGAGCTCTTAAGTTATTGCATGTCTTGGGACAAATTTGTTTGCTGTAAATCAGTAAGATAACACCTGCAGAGGTCCCTTCTGGAGTTAAAAGGCATGCTCCAAAATTGTGATGAACAGCTGACTCAGGCATTCACATTTACAGTTGCTTCTTAGGAATATGCAGTGAATGCCATCCAGTGAACATAGGACTATAACACAGGATTTCATACAGAGATTCATCTGCATAAAAGATATCTGGGTGAAGGAAAGAATTTGTAAATAAAAGACAGGGACAAATTCATTTCAGTGTTTTCTCTCATCTCCAGCAATGTTACTGCTGTGGGGAAGTGCTTTAAAAAGCAAAGACTGAAATGGTGGGCATGCAGTTTAAATGGCTAGAGATTGTTTGATTTTTGTAGATGTTAATATGCATCTGCATAGGTAGAGAGTTTTCTGTCTTGACTTAGAGGTGCTAGAGAATTTGTTAAATCTTCTTCAGATGGCTGTCAGAAAAAAAAGGCATATAAACCCAAAACTAACTCCTAAATCCTCAACACATGATCCTCACTGCAGTGCAGTTTTTCTGCTCTGCTGTCAGCTTGGGCAGATTTATCTCATGATATTATTCCAGGCAATTGAAGTGAAAGTGCCCTTCTTCATTACATCCCAAAAGGATGCTGATTCTAAACTGCCCAAAATAGAGAAGAAGCCCGAAGAGGATACCTGGAGTTTTCTCTGATCTCTTCTGGAAGCTTTCAGATTTCTGGATGGTTTTAAGAAGCAAACACACTTCTCAGCAGTTGACAGTTGTGGTGCCAAACATGCCATTGTGTCATTCTGAGATTCCTGACATTCTGTAGAGATGACTCTGCTGTTTATAGGGCAGTTCTTGGTTTACTGCAGACTGCAGCTTTTGAGGAAAGCAGCATTGGTACCACTTCATCTTGTGTTCTGAGGCAGCTTACTGGTGGGGTTTAGCCCTCTGCTTCATTACAATTGGACAGAAGCAAGAGCAGCTGAGAGGGCAGGGGCAGGTTTATGGGTTTGAGGTCCCCACAACCAGCTGATGGGACTCTTCAGCCTTCACGCTGGACGTGTTAGTCTGGTCTCTAGTTCTGAGGGTCCTAAACTTGGTTTAAAGGATGAGGCTGAAGAAGTGTTGTACCTCAGTGCTGACTGCCTGGGTTCTAACTTTTCTGCATTTATAGCCATTTCCCATTCCAGTCTTGCAGAGTCTCTAGCAGCAAACAATTTGAAACAAAATGCGTTGTTTGATAGGTAGAAGTGCATGTTAATTCAAGTGTGAATTCTTTAATTCTTGGCACATATTTTGTTTTGTATCTGATTTCATTCAGTCACAGTCTGTTCCACCTGTTGATTCCTGACCTACAATGGTGTTCTGCTGCTCTGATGATATTGGACAGGTTTGTACTGGAGTACACTGGAGCTGAAGTCCTCAGAACACCAGTCAGAAGCAAGCAGTGAGAGTTACTGCTTGTACTGTGGTTATAACATCCTTGTCCTTTTCCTTATTTTTCTTGTCTGAGCTTGGACAACCTCTCCTGGGGAAACTCTTGGCCTAGGTAATGAGTATATGGTGAGCTCATCTTTGAACCAGGGTGAAATCAGGGTCTGTCTTGTTGGTAGTTTGGCTTTTCTAGTTCACTATTCCCCTCATTAGAGGATTGGGGAATCTTTGGCATAAAATCAATAGCCAGAAGTTTCTAATAGGTTTAGTCTTCCTGCTACTTCTAGGTCACAGCTTCTGGAGAAGTAAGAATAACCTTGTGGTTTTGTTACAAGTTCAGGTATTAAAATTTGAGAGAGAGGTTTCAAGTTTGGTTTTTTTTTTCTTTTTTTTGTTGCTGTACTGCTGAGCAAAAATTGAAGACTGATATTAGCACAGAGGTATCTGAGATGGCTTCTGAAAATATCTGTATTTATAACTCCATCTGTCCAGTCAAATGCAGAACACTTTTCACATTGGTGAATGGTACCAGTTAAAGTGATGTTTGTGGTAATTGTAATCTCTGTAGATGCCCATGGCATTCAGGTGACCCCCTGGAATACTTTTAGAGTACAGCTGCTGCCCTGCTGGTTTGTAGGAGATGAGAGCCGAGACCTGGGCTGAGGCACTTCTGCAGATGCTGCCTTGGCAGCTCATGAGGGTAAGGAGAGGGAAGGATATTTTTCCTCTAGGTTCTGATAACAGGTTTAAATTCAGATTCGTGCATGACCTGAAGACTTGCTGGCTAAGAAGAACCTGCCACAGGGAAGATCAGCAAGAATGAGGAGAGCTGCTACTGCATTTGATTCTTTCTTTGTTTGGAAAAAAATAGATTTGGCTAAGCTTTCCTACCCACCCTGCCCTATGATTTCCACACTTTTCAAGCTCTCAAAATCACAAAGCATGTGCCAACAAACTTTATTTGGTATCACTGTAAGTGTATTCCTGGCTTGGAGACTTTACGAAGAATCTCTTCTTTGTCCTAACATATGTATGGTGAAAACCTCCCCAGTGTCATATTGCATTGAGATAAGCTGCAGTGTCTTTTTGCTGCATCTCACTTGGGAGACTCCACATGAAGTTACCTTTGTT